CAACCAGTGTGGGTGGGCTGTGACTGAGGAGGAGCGGCTCATCCACCAGTGAAGGTGGACAGGGGGTGGGGGGGCCTGAGAGAAGCAGCAAGGGTGGGTACAACAGCTTGAGGTGGGAGACCAGCGGATCCAGCTGGCCCGGTGTCCAGGGCACATCCCGCTGTCTGTCGCTCCGAGTAGGGGTATGCAGAGTGGAGCCCAGAGTGTCTTGCGACAGCTGAGTAGTGCGCACTGGTGGGTGGTCAGGACCCTCAGTCCCTGCAGGAACTGGCAGGTCTTGCTTCTGCTTCACCTTGCCCCGCCTTAGGTGGTCGCCCTGCAGGGTCACCATGCGATGTCTCACCCGACCGAACCCAGATCGGGGAAGAAACGCAGTTTTGCACAGTGGTCCACGATGGGGACCTGCTGCGGTGTGAGAGCGCTTGTGACTGTCCTTATGTACCTTCTCACATCTTGGCGGTGCTGATGGACCCAGAGGTGAAGCCAAGGGCGAGACGCTCACTGCCGGTGATGGTCGGTGCATCACCGGCACAGGATCTGACTCTGCCTGGGGCCAGAGCAGCACTTTCGGAATGAGGAACTTGCAGACAGGCTGAAGTCAAGTATTGCGGGTCCTTGATGAGAAGGATTTGCACATATTCCAGCGCGCGACAAGGGTTATCTTGCCCAGGCAGGCGAGAGCACGCATGTGCTCATCACTCACGAAGAACGAGTGAGAGCACTAAATACAATTCTTGAACCCCGGAACACAGGGCATAATCCCCTGACGGGGTCGGGAGAGGCCCCATGAGGAGCTACTATATACACTAACTAAACTAACATATGTACAGAAGTATGAAGAGAAAGAAAACAGAGCTAACTATTTACAACATACAGTTGTTCTCATAGAGGGTATGAGCATAAAGAGGATTCCAACTCCAACCATGCGGTAAGAGGGAACCAAGGGCATGTCGCCCCACAAGGCCTCTTATGACCTCATTTGGAGGATGTGGCAACATAAGGTGGCCGTGCAGGTCAACAGACACTGCTGCTGAAAAACTTCCAGCTCCGGCGCATGTGCACCAGTGTTTGGAATACATATAGGGACCATCACTTGAAGAAGAATGCCAGGTTGTTCCTTTTTAGGACAGACACAGAGATTGATCCGCGTGGGGGAAGCTAATAGAGCTATAACCAGTAGAGTCTAGCTCCAGTCAGTCCACTGAATTGAAACTATGTAAAAGAAAAGGTTGGTTGGGTAATGACAGCCCTACTTAAAGGCCCAGAATATATATATACACCGCTCCAATGTTCGTGTGTATTTATACATATGCTATTTGATTTGTACATAAACAGCTCTATTTCTACATTCTTAAAGTGCATATCATGATTTACCATTTAAAATATTTTTACTATAATATTAAGTTTGAAACAACCGGAATCTGAACATGACTTGCTATACTGTTCATGAAAATCAATAGCAACAAAGGCTGCATGTGATGTTTTTGTATGGATGAAAACCATTTCACTTTAACAAAGAAGTAATACCTCTTTCTGCCTATTACTAACACAAGAAAGTATCACATTGCATGCAATTATTATGACTTTGTTAAAACAAAACACAGGTGCCCTATATGAACTAGGTTATGCGTTTTCAAACTTCACTAAGGAAGCATCTTTTAAAAACTGACAAAGTTCTCCTTTCCTAGTTATATGGCCTTACACGACCAATGAAACAAGGCATATTCTTTTGATTGCCTTTTCTTGAAGGCTTATTTTAAAAGATACTCCCTGACAATGTAGAAGTTTTGACTAATTAAAGTGCTGGTAAAAGTGTTAAAACGTTCCGACCTGTATCCTTAGTTTCTTTAAACACCTGTATAAACAAACTTGCTTACTTCTATTTTCACTCATGTTCAACAAACAGGAACTCTCAGAACCATAGAAATGTAGGACTGGAAGGGACCTAGATAGATCATCGAGCCCAATCCCTTTCACTGAGGCAGGACTATGTATTATCTAGACCATCCCTGACAGATGTTTGTCTAACTTGTTCTTAAAACCTCCAATGATAGAGATTCCACAATCTCCCTAGGTAATTTCTTCCAGTGCTTAACTACCCTAACAGCTAGGAAGTTTTTCTTAATGTCTCACCTAAATCTCCCTTGCTGCAATTTAAGCCCATTGCTCCTTGTCCTGTCCTCCGTGGATAAGGAGAACAACTTATCACACTCTTCTTTATAACAATCATTTATGTACTTGAAGACTTATACCCCCCTTCAGTCTCCTCTTCTCCAAACTAAACAAACCCATTTTTTTCAATCTTTTCTTGTAAGTCGCTTTCTAGACCTTCAATCATTTTGTTCCTCTCCTCTGGCCTTGCTCCAATAAGTCCACATTTTCCCCAAAATGTGGTGCCCAGAATTGGACACAGTACTCCAGCTGATGCCTTATCATTGCTGAGTAGGGTGGAAGAATTTCATGTTTTGCTTACAACACTTCTGGTAAAACATCCCAGAATGATTGCTTTATTTTGCAACAGTATTACATTGTTTACTCATATTTAGTTTGTGATCCACTATAACCCCCAGAGCCGTTCTGCAATACTTCTTCCTAGGCAGTCATTTCCTATTGTGTATTTCTGCAATTGATTATTCCTTCCTTAGTGTTCTACATTAGTAGTGTACTGCATTAGTTCTTATTGAATTTCATCCTATTTCAGGCCACTTCTCCAGTTTGTCAAGATCATTTTGAATTCTAATTCAAGAGCTTGCAACCTCTCCCAGCTTGGTATCACCTACAAACTTTATACCTGTATTCTCTCTGCCATTATCTAAATAATTTATGAAGATACTGAAGAGTACAGCACCCAGGACAGATCCCTGCGATACATCATTCAATATGCCTTTTCAGCTTGACAGAGAACCACTGGTAACTACTCTCTGAGTATGCTTTTCCAACCAGTTGCGCACCTTCCTTATAGTAGGTTCATATTAGGCTGTATTTCCCTAGTTTGCTTATGAGACGGTCATGTGAGACCGTATCAAAACCTTACTAAAGTTGAGATATATCACATCTACTGCTGTCCCCTATCCACAAGGCTTGTTACCCTGTGAAAGAAGGATATTAGGTTGGTTTGACATGATTTGTTCTTGACAAATCCATGTTGACTGTTACTTATCACCTTATTGTCTTCTAGGTGGTTACAAACTGATTGTTTGATCATTGTTCCATTGTCTGTATATCATAATGTGATACCTATCTATATCATAGACCATCATATCATCATATAGAATAAGAGCATTTCTTCTGACCAAGCTAATGATTTCTACCTTGATTCCTACAAATATAAAGAACCATCAAATTCTACACACACAGTGAGCCTAACTGCGTGTTTTTATTATTGCTATCCTTTTCCTCCCATCCTTTTCCCTCCTACTATTTATCAAGTCACACTTATTTGTCTTCAATTAGATTCTGAACTCTTAGGAACATACAGTATGTACAATTCATAGTTCAACTGGGCTATGATCCTGACTGGAGCCTTTGGGTGTTACAACACCCAAATACTGATACATTTTTACCTTGACTGCATAAGCATGTGTTTCATTACAATTTAATATCTCCTATCAAGGGACTGTTATTCTACCATTACAGAAGAATATGCTTGATGAGCTAATTGGTCCTTTTCATTTCTAACTACTGCTACCTTATCTGAATACTGTATGGATTATATGCATGTAAGGAACGGTTACTTACTTTAACTGTGGTTCTTTGAAATGTGATGCAGTTGTGTATTCCACTTAGGTGTGTCCGTGCGCCCAGTGCACGGGAACCAGAGAATTTTACCTAGTAGTACCTGTAGAGGGAAAATACTTGTGCCTCCTGGCCGCAGCCCGTCCCCTGGCTATATAAGGTAGTGCAGTCCCAAACCCCCTCAGTTCCTTCACACCGAGTGCCCACAGAAACTGTGACGCAGAGGGGACAGAGGTGGGTCGTGGAATACACATCTGCATCACATCTCAAAGAACCAGTTACAGTAAGAAAAGGTTTCTTCTTCCTCAAGCAGATGCAGCCATGTATTCCACTTCAGTGGCCCACAAGCAGTAGCCCCAGGAGGCGGGGCTCAGAGTCTACATAAACAATGACCGCAGGACCACCCATTGAAACAAGCATCCACCCTGGAAGATGCAGTAATGACTGGATGGTTTGCATGTAGCAGCCCTGAAAATGTCCAATACTGAAATGCACTGAAGAATGCTACTGATGTTGTTTGCACTCTCATAGAACTAGCTCGCATCCGCTGAAGGAGGCGTAGTTGAAGCTATTTCATATGAAGTCATGATAAAGGAGATTATTCATTTAGAGACTGTGAAGAGACCACCAGACCCTTCATATGATGTGTATGTGACGTGAACAGGCATGGTGAAGCACAATACAGTTTAGTCTGGTCCAAATAGAAAGCCTAGACATCGCCTGACATCTGATGTGTGGAAATGCTGCTCTTCCAGAGATGAATGCAACTTAGGAAAAAACACAGGTAAATATACCGCCTGGTTCAAATGAAGCTGAAAAACCACTTCAGATACAATTTTGGGATGTGGTCATAAAGTCAGTTTGTCTTTAGAGATTTGTATGTAAGGAGGCTCTGCCATCAGAGACTGCAACAGACTCTCCTTGTGGATGCTATTGCTATCAGGAACGTAGTCTTCTGAGACAAAAGTGGAAAGGGACAAGACGCCAGGGGCATCTAAGAAAGAGAGAGGTTGTGAGGTTAGGAACCATACAGAGCTCTGACTCCAGCCATGGGTGGTAAGAAGGAACAGACAGAGGTTAGGGGAGTGCTACCTCATATAGCCAGAGGAGGGGCTATGGCCACAAGTGACCTTCTAATGCTACTGCTCGGCAAAATTCTCCAGCTCCAGTGTGCTAGGTGCGAACGCACCTCAGTTGAATACGCAGCCGCACCTACTCAAAGAATCAATACATTCCTGTTTTGTTTGCTTGATATATACATCTCAGCTACCTTCACCCTACTTAATAAAATTGTCTGTGTGTGTTTCTCAAAGAAAACTACAGTATACCCAGAAAAATAGCATGACTGAAAAGCAGACGTACTTCTCTGAGACTATACACACATGAAATGTGATCCTTCTGTGAGCTGTGGTTGCGTTGATAGAGCTGGTGATGGTGGGGACTCTGGTGAAGAGGGCAGATTTTTTCCTGAAAAGAGAAATTAAAAAATAAATATCACAGAAGGTAAAAGTTAGACAAATTGAAAATATTTCAAGCAGCATGAAATTTGTGAGCAAGGTGTTATGCAAGTAAAGGTTAAAATAATCAGAAGAAACTTTTTAAATCAACATTATATAGTGAAAATAATGCTATTTAAAGAGAAGAATTTACATTGTTCTTAAGGAAGATATTTGCTCACACATAAATAATTGTACCTCTGGCAGAACAGACAGTTGTAGTGTCACAGTACAATGGATACAGGACTGATGGTTAATGAATATGAAGAGAATTCTTTATTGAGTTTACTAGACACAGCCATAACCCTGTTATGTTCCCTAGCTAAGAGTAACTAAACCTTCCCTATGATGTCACCACAAAGGATCTTTCCTAGTCCTGGCCTGAACTAAGCAGTCATGGAAAGGACTGTGCCGTTTGCCTTGTTTATTTATCCTTACATCACATCTGCACTTCCTTATTCCTCCCTGGCACCAAACAACTCATCACCTCAAGTATTGATCATTCCATCTGCCCATTTCATAAGCAACTTGTCCGTCCCCCAGCACTCTGATTTTCTTGCAAAGTGCGCCATTAAGGTATTCGCAACCACCCTGTCTTTTCCACTTCTGGCATCCCTCCTGACCTCTGGGGAGAGACACACCAGCCTCTCTGTTATTTTGCTGGTTCATAATCGAATGCCTAAATTGGGAACTATCTAGTGTTAATATGGCCCTCATCACTGTAGTATCTATGTTCCAGTCAAGGAGCTCATACTGCAAGGATCAGGAAAGGGGATCAACAGCAGGAAAGTGTGTGTTTAGAATAGATGCCTTTGGTGAAATGACCTACAGGAGAAAGTCATGGAGCTGATTGGAACCAGTAGAAAGGAGGTAGACAGCACTGAACATGTGCAGAGGATTGGGGAGGGGGGTGTTCTGGAGGGAGACAGGGAACGATTTGCTCCAGCCAAGAGAAACTTCTGGGAACCCTCTCTCATCCTCGAACTAGTTGCCTCCAAAAGATCTGCATTTAAACCTCTGAAAACAGTGTGTTTCTGAGATTCGTCCATTGGGAAATTGGCTGGGTCTCTGTCCATCCCTCCCCATCAGGTGCAAAAATATACATGCAAGACCCAGATTAGTTTAGATTTCTTTTCACTACACAAGAATTTCAGAGCATCAGAAAACAATCAGAATGTATATTACATATGTAACATTTAATTCCCAATGTACACCTCTGTGTAACTGACAGTCTCTTTTCCATACCTGCTGTTTGATTTTCTCTTGCAGATTGTACTGCTAATGCAAAAGAAGCAATAATCCCTTCTTGCTCTTGAACACTGGCTGCTTCACTCTCTTTTGGACTGGTTTCATGTTTGTGGTTTGCAGTTGGGGCCATGTTCTGCAGACTAGTTAAAAAAAGTTGCTATTTTTAGAGTTCATTTAATTTAATTTCAGGTGTTAACCAATATTTACGTGCAACTGGAGTTCCAGCACTTAATTTTTTTCTCTTAACACAAAACCCTCCCATTTACAAGATTGTGTTGTTTAAATCAAATACATATTTCTGGAACCTATAGTAGTGTGTCGAAACCCTGAATCAAAGAAAAAGTTAGTTTTGTTTCAATCTTATAAAATTCATTCTAGAGTAAAAAAGAACTTTAAACTGGGAACTTGACAGTTTTTTTTTTTCTTTTTCATACTTATACACTGAAATAGATACCAAATTCAAGGCCGTAGGGAAGATACAGTGTGTCATGAGAATGTTATGACCATCTGAGAGGGCCTCACTCTACATTGTTAGTAAGACACATGTGTCTAGCTTCCAGTTAGGCAAGAACTACTTAAGAGGTGCACCAAAACTCCAGTACTACTCTAACTCTGAAATCATGGAGTTAATGGAAACCCTACAAGGTGATGAAGTACCCTAAGGCAGTGGTTCTCAACCACAGGTATGCATACCCTTGGCAAATATCTAGATAAGCTGATGTACCTCCTAGTTTTACAACAGGCTACATAAAAAGCACTCACCAAGTCAGTACAAACTAAACTTTCATACAATGATTTGTTTTATACAGCTCTATATACGATACACTGAAATGTAAGCACAATATTTATATTCCAATAGTTTTATTTTATAAGGTAAAAATGAGAAAGTAAGCAATTTTTCAGTAATAGTGTGCTGTGACACTTTTGTATTTTTGTGTCTGATTTTGTAAGCAAGTAGTTTTTAAGTGAGGTGAAACTTGGGGTAGGGAAGACAAATCAGACTCCTAAAAAGGGTAAGGTAGTCTGGAAAGGTTAAGAACAACTGCCCTAAGGGGTCAAAAGTCCAGACTGCTCCTGAGCTGATGGCTTCCATACACAGTACAATGGACTCCAATAAAAAACTTGCCATTGGAGCCTTCAGGTGAGGTTTTTAACAAGAATCTTATGGAAAGCTTTGATGACGCAAGAAAAGCTATTAAGCCCTCATCCTGAGATAAGGCAACAGAGGGTCCTGTGGCACCTTTAAGACTAACAGAAGTATTGGGAGCATAAGCTTTCGTGGGTAAGAACCTCACTTCTTCAGATACTTGACACCATCCTGAGATAAAATTGTTGACTAGATCTTGCATCCCAAAGCAAACCACAAATTGTGTTTGTCCATGATGAACATATGCTCATAAATGTATTTGAAACTTCCCACATATTAGTTCTGAGCAAAAACAGCAACACAGAAAAAGGAAAAAAAAAAAAAACCCTAACCCAGAAATTAGTCTAGGGAGGATACCTGACTCCAAGCTATTTCACAATTACTTGTTATTTCTTTTGCCCCAAGTTTGATCTAAGAACCAGTGTTGACCAAGTTCCCGCCTTGTTACCAATCCATGGTGGGTGAACTCAGGGAATTTCTGATTTCAATAGGTGGCTGGAAATGAATCATGACTAAGTATAATGAGTTTGCTATAAAAAGGAAGAAAAACTAAGTTGCATTCAGAATATGTTATATTTTTATATTTCGTTCCATAGCTGTGTTGTGTTCTACTTCTCAGAAGAGTGAAGTCTGTGTTGGAGCCCCTAAGTAGAATGGACTCTGAATTTGTCTGGAAGTAGGAGAACAGGGGTAGGGAGAAAAATCTTGAGTATTTTAGTTCTCTCAATATCTACAAAGAGAGAATCCTAGGCCTGGTCTACACTAACCCCCCAAGTCGAACTAAGGTACGCAACTTCAGCTACGTGAATAACGTAGCTGAAGTCGACATACCTTAGTTCGAACTTACCGCGGTTCAGACGCGGCCCACACGCGGCAGGCAGGCTCCCCGTCGACTCCGCGGTACTCCTCTCGCCGAGCTGGAGTACCGCAGTCGACGGCGAGCACTTCCTGGTTCAACTTATCGCGTCCAGACCAGACGCGATAAGTCGAACCCAGAACTTCGATCCCCAGCCGCCGAACTAGTGGCTGGGTGTAGACCAGCCCTAAGAGTGAAATTAATGAGCAGAATAACTTTGATAATATTATTCAGACCTGAATCATTCCATGAATCACAAAGTTTAAAGCCCATCTGTAAACAGTTCATGGCCTGATCCTATACCTGCCTCTGACAATGAATGCAGGACTGGGTCAAATATGTGCTATTTCTTTATATGATTATATTATGCAATCAAATCTTAACACAAAAACCATCTTGTAATGAACAACCTGTCCATGCTTAAATCAATTTTTCCATTTTTCATACCACCTAACCATTCATATTCTTTATACCTTTAGAGAGAAAATAAACATATTTTTTTACATGCAGCCCCATACTACCCACACTTCCCCTTTGGAGTTGCGTAGAACAGTGAATCAAGCTTCCAAAGGTAAAAAACTAAAATATTCATTATTAAACTGTAATTAACTGTTGGACTAGTTCAATATGCAATTATCTTATTTTTATTTATTTATTTTTACCTGATATCTACATTATGTGTTTTTCCCAATTTCTTTTGTTTTTCTACTCCTTCTTCAGCATTCCCTTCTTTTGGATCAGCTATAACACACGTGTCTGGTAACAGTGGGTCATCGCTTTTTGTCAACTTTAAAAAGAAAAGTTGAGAAGTTTTAAGAAAAATCTGTAGGTACACACTGTGAGCACATACTGAATGGTGGGCAGATAATTGATTTTCAGGAAGTAAGCTTTGTCAACAGAGCCAAATTTTGGCCTCAGTTATATAGGTATAACTAAAGAATTACGTTTATATAATTTACATCAATACCATTACCTGAAGAGCAATACAGGAAGAAATGTGCAGAATTTGGCCCAATGAATTCTGAGAGTGACCTAGAACTATCAGGGAACTATCTAGAATCTGGATTGCAGTTTCTGTATTGTTTTCATACCTCCACCACCATCCAAAATGAATACAACGCACAACTGCTTGGACACATTACTCGGTGTGAATGCTTTAGAAGTTCTGATTAGATACAGTCATTATCTGTGTGTGAAATAGCACTCTTTCAAAAGGCTCAAAAAGGCTTCAAGTAAAAGGTGTTAAGAAAAAGATGGTCAGTTTTAATAACTTGATTTTATATTGTTACTCTGTGGAAACTTGATAAAATGGTAAAGGTAAAGGAGAGGAAATGAGAGGCAGCAGCAAAAAGAAAAGGGGATTAATGAAAGAATATGGGCAAAAAAAGGGAAGAAGAAATTCTGCATACGTAGATTTAAAAGTGTTCAATTACAAGGAGGCATGATTGCGTGGTACTGGTTCTGACAGCCTTTAGCTCCACCTGTAAATCATCATGAACAGCAATTAGGATATTTTAAAATAGGGTAAAATTGGGTGAGATGCAAGATAAATCTGAGAGAAGTACCACTTTGATGATCAGCACAAGTCATAATTATTGCCCAACTCCATGCCGTGTAAATTATTGTCTCTCCTCTTATTTATTTGTTAAGCAATTTGACGTGCTGGGGTGCTATACAAATCAAAAAAGGAAGAAAAAGGTCCCTGGTCTGAGGAGGAAACCTCAGTCACAAAATGCACTGGAAGACCCGAGTTAAATTCATCTAGAAGAATTTCTGAACTGGCAGGTGATGTTACTTACAGATGTGCTCAGTATTTGTGGAAGAAGTTACTTTTGAGGTAGGATTGAACACTCTAAATATAACTTATTACCTCAGTAATAAAATTTGCATTATGCTCTTCTGATCCAGCATTTAGTTGTGTTATTTCTTCTGCAGGAGTTTCGTGATTTTGTTCCAAATCATTCTCTCTTATGGCACTCTCTAATTCCTTAATGTTACTGGATACCATATCGTCCTTTCTTCGATTCTGTAGAACAAATGTGATATATGGAGATACTTGCAATAAAAATCCAGTGGTATTACTGCATACTCTTTTCCTATTGTTATGCTGAGACTTCCATTATGATCTCTCAAACATTGCTAAAAGTTATGAAAAAAACTTTAGACTCCTTGACCTCAATTCAAAAGTTTACCTCCCATTTCCTCATAGATGTGGCATGTTATTTTAATGCAATAGGTAAGAGTTAAAATTGCTTTTGAAATCTTAACTTTAAATATCCTGACTTTCGTGTAATTAAAACATCCAACTGTAATAAGTCAGGAACAATTTGTTGCTTATAGCAGATATAAAATTTATGGCTAACTGCATAAAGTATGGGGAGCTGGTAGTAATTCTCAAATTTAGGCTGCCTAACATTTTCCATTATGAAAAAAAAACCTTGCAACCTTTTTTGAGAAGCGCTAACACCTCCATTGTTTGCAGCAGGCCATTGAAATTTGGTAACCTCAGGCTAGAGGAGTGCCTTTTCTTTATCCCAGGAAATTCCATTTAGGTTTAGCTGAGTTATAAACTGTTAAAGTCGATTTCCCTTTCTCCTGCTTGCATTCCTAAGGACAATTTTGGCAGCCTGCTATAAATGGACATTCTGAAGTGCAAGGCCCAGGCCGCCACCAAAGCAGCAGCAGCACTTGACTTTGCAACTTCTTCCTCCCCCCCCCCAAAAAAAAGAGATGTATTTTTTTTTTGTTCTAACATATTACTGTGTACACACCAAGGAACTTTTGGCATACCTGAGACAGCTTAAATGGATTATCCCTAACAAAGGATGAGCTCTGTGAAGGAGACAGATCTGAAACGCCAATAATATTTAGCCCCTTTTTCTTCTCTCTCAGACAAGCTTGTTGGTGTCTCCTTATTCTTTCCATCTGCTCCTCCACAGTCATTCGAGGCCGAGTGTTTTCTGCCAGACATAACTGCTCCACTGCACTTCTCGGCCTTTCCTTAAAAGAAAGGAACATACTTTATTAAAGGGCACTCTTTGAAGCAATGTTGTGAACATATAATGTGGGTGTTCACTTAAAAAAGCTTGTTCTGCACACCTGCATTTGGCCTAACTCTGGTATCCCCTATATTAAGACTGGTCAATATGTCAAGTACCAGAGGAAGTTTTAGGGACAAGATTTATCTGCACTAGAAAATTACATCATGGTAGAACATGTTTTAACTTTAAATATGACTGAGCACTCAGTGTAGATAAAGACTGGCATGTTTAATGTGTCAGCTGATAGTGGTTACCGTTGGGTTGGGGTTAGAAGATTCAGCTGCCTTTGTTCTTCTTTTGCACTTACTTAGGGCTAGGCTACACCAGAAGCACTAGATGCATCTGTGCCATGTCTGGTGAAGACGCTCTAGGCTGAAGGCATAATTACTCCACCTGTGGACAGCGCTTAGATCGTTGTAAGTTGCGTCGCTCAGGAGTTGGCTTTTTCACATACCCCTGAGAGATTGAAGTTACATTGACTTAAGTGGTAGTGTAGACCTGCTCTGAGGTAAATAAGAGCTGGTCAGTTAATAAGGAGTGGTTACCATGACCAGCTGATATGGAGTTCAACTTTATTATTATTCATATTATTGTAGCACCTAAGAGTCTCAGTCATGGACCAGTACAAACTGGCGCTGTACAAACACAGAACAAAAACATGACAGTCTTTGCCTACACTGCACAATAGTGCCCACTATAGTTTGTTTTCCAATGAAATGGTTGTTTAAATTTATATAAAGTTGTTTCACCTAATAAAGCGACTACACCTCTACCCCGATATAACACGGTCCTCGGGAGACAAAAAAATCTCACTGCGTTATAGGTGAGACCATGTTATATCGAACTTTCTTTGGCCCCCCCCCTTCCTTGCTCCCTGACCGCCCCCTCCAGAGACCCCTGTCCCTAATCACCCCCAGGACCCCACCCCCAGGACCCCACCCCCCTGCTTCCTATCCCCTGACTGTTCCGACCCCTATCCACATACCCTGCCCCCTGACAGGGCTCACCGGCAGCAGTGGGAAGCGGAGCAATGTGGCCCTGGCCCGCTCCATTCCGCCACCTCCCAGCCGTGGTGCTCCGCTTCCCGCCACCAGTGAGTGCGGGGAGGTTGGGGAAAGGATGCCCCCCGTACTCACCTGCGGCGGGAAGCAGAGCGCCATGGCTGGGAGGTGGCGGAGTAGAGCGAGCTGGGCTGCTCCGCTTCCCGCTGCCGGTGCATGCAGGAAGGTTGGGGAAAGGACGCCCTCGGCACTCACCTGCAGCGGGAAGCGGAGCGACGAGGCCCCAGCCCACTCCGCTTTCCTTGCCCCAGCCGTGTGTGTGTGTGTGTGTGTGTGTGTGTGTGAGTGAGTGATAGAGAGAGAGGTCACGCACTCACCTGCGGTGGGAAGCGGAGCGCCACGGCTGGGAGCTGGCGGAGTGGAGCAGGCTGGGGCCGGGCTGCTCCGCTTCCCACCGCCGATGAGTGCGGGGAGGTGGGGGAAAAGGACGCCCTCCGCACTCACCTGCGGCGGGAAGCTGAGCAACGCGGCCCCAGCCCACTCCACTCCACCACCTCCCAGCCGCAGCACTCCGCTTCCCGCCCCCGGTGAGTGCGGGGAGGTTGGGGAAAGGACGCCCTCCACACTCACCGGCAGCGGGAAGAGGAACGATGCGGCCCCAGCCCGCTCTGCTTTCCTTGCCCCTGCCCCTGCCCCAGCTGTGTCGCTGGGGGTGGGGTGGGGGGGTGGTCCCGCATTCACCTGCGGTGGGAAGCGGGCTGGGGCCAGGCTGCTCCGCTTACCACTGCCAATGAGTGTGGGGAGAGGACGCCCTCCGCACTCACCTGCAGCGGGAAGCGGAGCAACGCGGCGCCAGCCCACTCCACTATGCCACCTCCCAGCCGCAGCACTCCACTTCCCGCCGCCGGTGAGTGCGGGGAGGTTGTGGAAAGGACTCCCTCCACACTCACCGGCAGCGGGAAGAGGAGCGATGCGACCCCAGCCCGCTCTGCTTTCCTTGCCCCTGCCCTGTCACTGGGGGTGGTTGGGGAAAGGTCCCACACTCACCTGCGGCAGGAAGCAGAGCACCACAGCTAGGAGCTGGTTTTGTGGAGTGGGCTGGGGCCCGGGCTGCTCCGCTTCCACCCCTGCCGGTGAGTGCGGGGGGGATCCCTTCTCCCAAGCCCCCCCCCAAGCAACACAGCTGGGGCCAGGGCGAGGGAAGCGGAGTGGGCTGCTCCCGGCCCCCCGCTAATCCCCCAGGCCACTCTGGGACTGCAGGGCCCCCAAAATTGCCCCCCCCCAGCTCCTGCCCCCGAGACCCTCTGCCCCTTATCCAACCCCTCAGCCCCGGACCGGCAACCTTAACATGCTGTTCAGAGCAGCGTGTCAGAGCTTTACCGCGCTGTATGCGAAACAGGTCACATTATATCGGGGTAGAGGTGTATATGAGAACATTACCTGAAACAATAAATTAAGAGGACAGCATAAAATGTCAGTGACAGTACAATTTTGAAGAGATTTTGAAAACTGTATAGAGTAATGAATAGAAATGCATAAGAATTCAAATCAATATTTTAATAATGGGGGATACAGAGATAGACATGAAAATATTGTAACTTGGGTCCTCAACCCTGGATCCAGGTGGGTAGACCTAGGAGCCCATGCAGAGCCGGATGTGGGTTTGGGGGCCGTAAAGTCTTGGATTCTTTAAAAAGTAGTCAATTAAAAAAAACCTCATTACTAACTATTAGATTACAATGCAGAGTAATCTAAATGGAGGGTCTTGCTTTATGGAGTTTAGCATCACTAGCGACCAGGCTGATCCCAAATCTTGCCATCTTTATGGTAGATGGCTACCTGGCTTTCTGTTTGCAAACTCTCTCCTAAGTTGCAGAATGACCAGAGAGATGTGTACTGGGAAGCAAATGCATTGGTGTTTTCCTTTTCTGGGCCTTGTTCCTCTTTATTAAGGGCTGTGATTTACTTCTGAATACAAGAAATGGCACCTTGATCTTACAGTGACAGCTGCCTTAAAATGCATATATTTATAGTTACTTCTGATGGTTTTTGTAAATTATACTCTATTGTATTTGGAAAGAAAACTTAGCTGTGCAGTCATCCTTTAACTGAAAATAATTTTGTGGGTTTCAAATAATTTCTTGAAGAGTTTTTTCCTGCTGATCACATACAGAAAGTTTAAATGTTACCCGAACTCCATTTTCTTTAGCACTTTGCAAGTAATCATATAGATTACTCAAAGAACATCTTGTATAGAAGCAAGATTATTAGTACATATAAAATAAGATGTTCTGTTGTAAGTGAAGTTACTAGCAATATAAAAGACCTGAGACTAGGTTATTTAGTGTCTAAGTCCACTAGCCCTCTCTGGAGAGCTATATTACAATCCTTATTAGTTCCAAATCCACATCATAAAATTGCCCCACAGCTTGACATAAATATAAGGCTTTATGCAGGAGTGGCCCAGGACTTATATATGCATGGTGCAGCAAGTCAGGACTCTACTGCAGCGTCTTACACAGCACACCCTGGATTAGGTGTGAATCCAGTTATTACTGTTTTTCACTTTCCTGAGCATTGAATTTCCAGGAAAAATTTGCTAGAAAATCCACAAGGTTATGAAGTCGTTTATTACAAGACCTGAAAACACTGATCCTGTTTCTTGAGGGAGAGAATCCCTGCAAAATTATATGCTGTTACCAAATTCTATTTCTATTAGGAATGATTATCTTTTACATATCACACACCTCATGATGGACTACTGTGTCTTTTTGGTCCAGTCAAAGTGAGGGTTACTCACAGGTTGTCCCTGTGGGTGCTCCACTTTAGGTGTTTATGCGCCCTGCGCTTATAATTGGAGATTTGTGGTAGCAGTGCCTAGTTGGGTCGTGCATGCAACGTTGCTATCTCACACCGCTCCAGGGGGTTACGTAGTACTGCGTGACCAACCATCCCTCGATTCCTTCTCTACCGCAGAGAATCTACATGAAACTCTGAAGTAGAGGGGAGGAGGAAGGTAGTGAGCACCCACAGGGACAACCATCTCAAAGAAGCTCAGTTACTGTACAACCCTCTCTTCTTCTTTGAGGAATAGCACTGTGGGTGCTGCACTTTTGTGACTGTTGAGCATTGGAAGGGCTTCGGATTTGCGTTATTGATGGTGGATAAAACTGTGAGTCCAAATTGAGCATCCGATTATGACTGTTGCTCTATAGCATAGTGCTTTGTGAATGTGTGGACTGATGCCCAAGCTGCTGCTCTGCAAATGTTGATAATGATAATTGTTGAGAAAAGCTATGGGTGCTGAAAGTGCTCTGGTAGAGTGTGTGCAGATTCCCACTGGAGCTTGTAAATGAAGCATTTGATAACAAAGGTGGATACATCCAGATATCCACTTGGATAGTCTCTGCTTTGAGATGGTTTCCCCTGTTGAACATTCTGTTACAGAGACAAATAGTCTCGGTGATTTTCTAAATGTTTTTGTTCTTTCAATGTAGAACGCTAATGCTCTTTGAACGTCCAGTGTGTGGTTCCTCTTTTTCGTCTGCATCTGGTTTTGGAAAAAACATAGGTAAGTAAATGGGTTGGTTCAAATGAAAGGGAGATACAATCTTGGGTAGGAATTTGGGGTGTGGCCTTAAGGCAACACTGTCTTTAAAGAAAGTTGTGTATGGGGTATGTGTGCGCGCATGCGTGTGTGTGTGTGCGTGCGCGCATGCATTAGGGCATCTAGTTCCCTCACCCATCTGGCAGACATGATGGCAATGAGGAAAGCCACCTTCATAGATAGGTGGAGTAGCGAGCAGGTGGCAAGCAGCTCAAATGATTTTCCCATAAATCTGCGTAAGACGAGGTTGAGGTCCCCTTATTTTGAGGTAGGTGTTCTCAATGCTCTTGAGGAAACGTTTAGTTGTTGGGTGGGCAAATATACTGACCCCGTTCACCTTATCATGGAAAG